ACCCAACATATCACCGGGGACCCAGGGAAAAGGAAGGAATATACACTGATTAAGACTGAACTGTTGGCCAGACTGTTACAAGTGTTTTCTTTATCAATCCCTCTAATCCCCAGAGAAACCCTGAGTTAAGTGTTATCTCTACTTTATAGGGAAAATGGAGATTTAAGAGTGTTTCAGTAAGGAATCAAGAAAACAAACATGTTTTACAAGCTAGAAATAGATACAATATAACATGCAGGCTGGCTGTGCAGGGATAGCACACAAATCCGTCCTGCTAATCCTGCCTTCCATCCTGACTGATGAAGCTAAGTGACAGCCAACAGACCCACAAGCTATGGGGTCTCAACAGGCCTCTGTATCTCTCTGAGCCCTAAGTTCGCTGTTTATAAAGTATGAGATTTGGAAGAGATAAATTAACTCCTTTCCTGATTATACAGAAACGCTCTAGCAGGAACACATCTGAATCACTAGTGTAGATAAAAGAGTGAGTTACAAGAAAAATCCACAGCCTAGAGATTTTCAGCAGTCTCTCAAATTTGTCACCTAAGGCTGCTGTTAAATGCCACGATGGAGGAAACAGACAGGATGACCTGCTGCCTAACAGCTGCAGTGCAAGTCAACCCCCACAGACGTGCATTTGCCCATCCCTGTCTGCCATTCAGCATCGGTTCCCAAATCTTCCCTTTTGGAAACCTGGTCTCCAGCTCACTGGATTCCCAGATCACCCAGTGAACCACATGATCCTGGTGCAGCATACACTCTAGATCCTCTCTTGTAGTTAATAACAAACAAAAACCAAATTAAAATGCAAACAGACAAAAACCTGAGAAGTTGATCCCGAATTCCCATTAGTTTCCATTTAGGCCTCAGAAAAGTGCTCATTTTTATGGCTGTTTTCTCCAGCTGACCTTGTGTCGTAAGCAAAGTCTAGTTTCTTTTACTGCAGAACATTCTTTACATGGCTAAAGATTCCAACCCGTTTCCATATTATCTACTTTTTAGAGGTGGTTTCTTTTTTCCATCCACCACCAGAGAGGCATAAAACAGTGATTAATTCATCTGGTACATTCTACTGGTGAAGCTAAAATATGATTTCATCACAGCAAAAATTGTACTAATAGGATTCAAGAGCTAAAACTGCCAAAAAGTTAAAGAAGGAACTCAAACAATGTCCAAATTTGTGAACAATGTCCAGTGATCAGAGAGTAAGAAAATCCAATTTGGTTCTTGGAAAGGTTTATATTAGAATTTATGTCTGCCCCAGGAGATTATTGAAATTGGTAAACCTGGAAGACAATGGTATGCAATTAAACATGCACATTATTGCTTTTTGTTTTGGAAGACCATGCTTCAAATGTCTGTATGTACATTTAAGAATGGCTGGCGAGATCAATGTGAACCAACAACGTTCACCTCTATGACCACAGAAGATTGATGAATTCGTGGCTGCATCTACTATTTGAAACTGGATTTGCTATTTTGCCAAATACAATCCCAAAACAGCTTTTCCCTTCACTCAGAATATCCTTAGGACACCTCTCCTGCTAAGGAATTCTCTGAAAGTTTTTAGTAAAAACAGTAAGCAGTACAACTACTAAAGCATCCCCTGCAGAGTCAACCTTGATTCCTTCTGTGAAATATGTTTCTATCCCCAAATTTTCATGATGAAAAATTTCACTGATGAAAAATTCTTCATGCTTCATAATTTTGTATTTCTCATAACTTTAGGGTAACACTTCATTTGAATTTTCTCAGACTGAGGACACTAAACAAGCTTCCCTTTACTGGTGGAGTTTCTGGTGTCTCAGGAGGCTTGAGCGCCTGCTGAAGTTCCTCCTGCATGTGCCACAGGTGTAAGGCTGCTCGCCTGTGTGAGTTCTCCGGTGTTTAATAAGGTGGGAATTCTGACTGAATTTTTTTCCACATTCATGACACGTAAAGGGCTTCTCTCCAGTGTGAGTTCTTTGGTGCGTGTGGAGGTTTGTATTTTGACTGAAGCTTTTCCCACACCATGAGCATTTATATGGTTTTATTCCTTGGTGTGTTGTTAAATGCTTATTAAGATCTGAACTCCATCTAAACCTCTTATCACACTGTTGACATTTATACGGTTTCTCTTCAGTGTGAATTCTTTGGTGCTTAATAAGGTCAGAGCTAACTCTGAAGCTTTTCCCACATTCCTGGCATTTAAAAGGCTTCTCTCCTGCACGTTCCTTTTTGTGACGATTCATAAGTTTCAGCAGCTCTTGCTTCCAGGTTGAAAGTTTCTTTTTTTTCTTCACTGGAAAATCTCGGTGCCATTTCCCTGCCCTGTGCACATCACCATGATTTTCTTTGCCCATTGTTTTCTGGGAAACTTTCAATCTGGACTTTTTTGATAGTACATCTACTGGTGCTTGTATTTCTAAGTCAGAAAAACTAATAGGCTGAAGATTTTCAGTGTCATTTTTGAGCTTTAGCCCTGTTGGAATAAACATAGGAAATGGCTAACCATATGGCAGAGCAAGAAAACCACAGTAATGAAGAGGAAAAATAAAAGAATGAACACTAATAAAAAAAAAGAAACAGATAGGAAGAATCATAAAATGGTAAGCCCTTGGGAAGGTTCCTGTCAAGGCATTTCCCCTCTTTCCATGGTGTACTTACCTGGAGGCAGTTCAGAACTCTCTCTGACCTCCAGGGATCTTTGAATCCACGGCTCTTCCCCTTGCTCTAGACAGGAGATCACTTTAGGTTTGGGGAGCACAAATAATGCTGTGAAATGGAAAAACTGAGATCAAGGACTCATAACTTAACAATGGTCCACTAATACCAGAATATTTCAGGAAGACCAAAGGATACTTTAACAGACTGCAACCCCAAGTGGTTAAATGTGTACTCTTATATCTGGTATCAGGTTTATAATATACTACATTAAGGGGTGGATATGCAAAGTGCAGACTGAGAAATAAACCTAAACTGGACCAATGAAAAGGATATGGGGGTATAGGAATCCAGTGCAAATTCCCCATCTTCTGCTAATAAGCATACCCCATAGCGGGTAGGGTATAGCTCAAGTGGTGGATTGCATGCTTAGCATGCACAAAGTCCTGGGTTCAATCCACAGTACCTCCTCCAAAAATAAACCAATCAACCAACCAACCAATCTAATTACCACCCCCACGAAAAAAAGAAGTAAAATTAAAAAAAAAAAAGAATACCTCATATTCTACTAAGATGGAACCAAACTCCTAAGGCTGCAAGAAATACAGGCTGGTCCTATTAGCTTTTAGGAGGCTATGTACTGGATAAGACCAAGTCATAAGGAGCCAAAATGAAGGTCAGTGGGTTGAATGAGCATCAGATACACACGTGATTCACATTATAATTACAGCAACTTTCAACTTGGCTCTTAAGCACCAGATACATGACCAGGAGAGATTTCTACCACTCCCATAGCTCACTGGTTCACATTCAAGTGGAGGAAACAGGCCAGAATCACTTAATGGACTTTCTCTAAACCATATTACGAAGTATGGAAAGTATTCATCACCCAGTCATTTAATAAATTTATACTGAGTGGTGATGGTGTTCTGGGCACTCTCTATGTGCTAGAGATACTGTGCTGAATAAGCCAAGTCCCCTGAGCTCATGGAGCTATCTTCCAGTGCAGAGTGAAACAATAAACATCAATAAACAAAATGTCAAGAAGTGATCAAGGTTTTGAAGAAAACTAAAGCTGGGTAAGAGAGCATTTAAAAATATGCTCCTGTGAAGCTATTTTAGATAAGGTTATACAAGCCTCTTTGAGAAAGTGGTATCTGAACAGAACCCTAAAGTGAGTTTTGCCATGTGGCTGAAAAGTATGCCAGGTAGAGGGAAAGGGAAAGAAGAAATGAGCAAGGCAAGTTCCTGAAACAACAAAATGACCAGTGTAAATAAAGAGGACTGAGCAAGGGCACAAGTGGCCAGAGACAACAGCAGGTTGGTGAGGAGTAACCAGATCTTAGAAGGTTCTGCATACCTCAGTAAGGAATTTGGATATATTCTGAACTTCTTGAGCAATTATCTCAAGGTTGTGAAACAGAAAAAGTCATGATCTGATCAAGTTTTTAAAACTCTGGCTGCCACACAGAAAAGAGACTGGGAGAGCCAGTGTGGTGGCTTGGAGTGGCAGTCAGAAAGTACTGAGGTGGACTTCGACAGAGACAGCGCTGGCTACGGCCAGGATGCTAACAGCACAAGAGGTTGAGATGCAATCAGACTACACAAGCTATACTGTGAAGGTGGAGCCAAGAGCATTGTGTTAGATTTCGTGGGGGTGTTATGGGAAGATCGAGGTAAAGGATGACTGTTTCTTGCTCTGAGCAACTGGATGAGTGGGGACACCTCTTATGGAGATGAGAGAGATGTAAGGACAAGTTTGTTGGGAAGAAGACATCAATTCTATATAGGATAAGTAATGTGTATTTGGATAAAGGACCTTGGTGATCTGGATACACCTTTTTCCTGCCCACACCACCTAGTTGAGAACCAAACAGCTACTGGAACAAAGACTCTCTCAAGGCAGGTGCATTTCCAGTAAGTTAAGAACATGACAGATTACTCAACTCCTATGCAAAGGGGAGAAGCTTTACCTAGAGAGATGACAGTCTCATAGTTTTCTTGCATTACATCATTCTAGAGGGCGTTCTGAATGGGATTCAGTAACTCCCATTCTTCCTGGGAAAAATGCATGGCCACGTCTTCAAATGTTAACAAGCTCTAAAGAGGAGAATGGGTTTTGGCTCAGTACTTGCTATTACAGAAGAGGTCCTACATTCTCTGCCATGAACTGCATGGTAGGCCAGTCACTAAAGGAATTCATAGCAGTTCATTTTTTTAAAGTGAGAAGACAGAAAGGAAGGAAGCAATGGATCAGCAAATACCCTGGGAGGTGCCCAGTTCCCCAAAGGGAGCATCTGGGCCTACATGCCTCTGAGCATCTGCTGGGCAGTATGGGTCACACACAGCAGGGAAAGGCAGCCCTGAAGAGCTGGGAAGCACAGCTCACCTGGGACTCAGGCAAGAAGAGCTCAGGTGCCACAGTCCAGTCCTTGGTGTCTGTCTGCTCAGGAGAGGCTAGGATCTGGTAAGCAGGCACAGCTGCGGGTGGAACAGCCAGAGGAAATTTCTCTCCCTTCTGCCTTTGATTATTCTAGGCTCATTTCTAAACTGTAGACGATCCTGATTCTTTCAGTAGAGATGGGATATCTTCACAAGTGTTACCTGGTACCTAGAAGTGGCTTTCTCATTTTAAATAAGAATCAAGTGTCCACTAGCTCCTCCAACAAGTTCCTCAGTTGACACTCCTCAGTCTTCACCAGTGAAGTTGATAAAAGGAAATCCTGGTTTTTTCCTTACATGATATGAATAGTTCTAGTTGGACAAAAATTAAAGGTGTTGGAAAATACAGTACTCAGAGTCCAGTGTGCCAGGTAAAGGAAATGCAAAGGTATAAATGAGATCAGTAAGTTCAACAGCAAGAAGACTAGTGTGGCTAGACAGAACTGAGCAGGGCAGGAGTGGCAGGAGGTAAGTGCAGTGGGGTGAGATGGGGCGAGAAAAAGAAGGGTCCTGGGAACCTCAGTAAGGAGTCTGGATTTATTCTCAATGTGTGAAGTCACAGTAAGGCTTTGATGCAAGAAATGTCATGATGTGATCACATTTTTAAAAGACTCTGGCTGTTTTGTAGAAAACAGATTGTAGGAGGGGAGGAGTGATGGCAGGAGTGCCAGTTAAAAGTACTGAGGTGGCCCTTGTTAGAGATGCCACTGGCTTACACTACAATGCTAACAGCACAGGAGGCTGAGACTTGGTTGGACTCAGGTTACACTGTGAAGCTGGAGACAAGAGGACTAGTACTGCATTAGAACTAGCAGGGTATGACAAGATTGGTATAAAGGATGACCACAAGTTTTCTGACCTGACATATTGGGTGAATGGTGGTGTCCTTTATGAAAATGAGAAACATAAGAGAAATCTGGAGGGAAAGACAGAGGGAGGGATCAAGATTCAGAATAAAGAATGAGTATGTGCACATGAAAAAAGGTCCCTGGTGATCTGGATACACCTTTTCCCTGCCCACACCACCTAGTTGAGAACCAAACAGCTACTGGAACAAAGACCCTCTCACGGCAGGTGCATTCCCAGTAAGCTAAGAACATGAAGATTACTCAATTCCTATGCAAAGGGAAGGGGAGAATCTTTACCTAGAGAGATGACAGTCTCATAGTTTTCTTGCATTACATCATTGTAGAGGGCCTTCTGAGTGGGATCCAGTAATTCCCATTCTTCCTGGGAGAAATACATGGCCACTTCTTCAAATGTCAACAAGTTCTAAAGAATAAAATGGGCTTCAGCTCAATATATGCCTCTATACATGTTGCTGAATCATCTGGCCCATGAACTGCATGGTAGGCCAAGCACAATGGAATTAACACCTCTTGATTTTTTAAAATCTAAGCGGAAAGGAAGGAGGCAATAGATCAGTAAACAGGTGCCCAAAGTCCTGGGGAACACCTTGACTAATACCTCTGAGCACCTGCTGGGCAGTGTGAATCACGGGCAGCAGGGAAAGGCAGCCCTAAAAAGCTGGAAAGCACAGCTCACCTGGGACTCAGGCAAGAAGACATCAGGTGCCACAGTCCAGTCTTTGGTGTTTGTCTGTTCAGGAGAGGCTAGGATCTGGTGAGCAGGCACAGCTGTGGATGGAAGAGCCAGAGGAAATTTCTCTCACTTGCCTTTGAACGTCCAAATCTCATTTCTAAAATACTGAAGATCCCGATTCATTCAGGAGAGATGAGACACTTTTACAAGTGTGTGTGGTGCCCAAAAATGGACATCTCATTGTAAATAAGAACCAAGTATCTACCAGTCTTTAAAACAGTTCCCCAGTTTTCAAAAGCAAAATTAATAAAGGAAAAACTCCTTTTATTTTCCTCTCATGACATAAACCGTTCAGTTAGGCAAAGATGAAATGTTTTTGAAAATGACATACTCAGGGACTCCAGTGTACAGCAGGAGATATAGGGTTTTTTTTTAATCACTTTTTATTTTTTTCCTGGTACACAACTCTCTTCACATCCTGCCACTGACAACCCATTTCTAATCCCAACTCCTGTATTTTATGAGGATGAAGCAGGTCCGACCTTTCTAAGAAACTGAGTTCACGATGTAATTACCAGGAATCTGTTGTTTGGAGATTTCTGTACCTTAGGCCAACCTGCACCTTCACCCACGTGATCTATTCTATCGCCACCTGAGGGGCATCGTAATTGTTAATGTGGCTGCACTTGTAGGTCCACAGGGCAGGGTACCCAGAAGGTGTTCACACATTCTGGCTTAACAAATCACTGTCACAGCTCCCAGGAGAAGGAAAATTACATGAAGATCCTTACCCCTCTCACATATGGGCTCAGTTTCTTTGTGAGTATTTCTGCTCAGTGGTTCCTGTAGACCCTGGTGTGTATTCCAAAATTCTTCATTCTGGGACATGCCCAGTGGCTGCGACTCTGCTGGCTTCAGCTTGAAGCCTGGGGCCTCTGCTGTTTCTCCCAAGAACACTGCTTCCTCTCCCAGCTCATGGACTGCAACCTAGAAATAATCCCCATCCTTGTTACCAGAGCATTCATGTTTGTTTGGGGGTTGGTGGTAGAGGCAGGAAAAAGCAGAGTACAGACTGTAGGAGGTGGGAGACAATAAAGGAAATTACAAAAAGACTTAAAGAGATACTGGGCCACCAATTTTCCACAAAGAACTAGCCACAAATCTGGGAAAACTGGAATAAAAGGAAAAAAGCTGTGGCTACTGCCAGTACCCCAAGACAGCAGCCCACAACCCTCTGCATACAGCTCAGCTCAGACCACTAGCAGGGTTACACCAGCCACCTGTTCTCATGCTGCCTTGACAGGCTATCTCTCCCAACTTAGACCCCTGCCTTGGTGGTTTCCTGTCTTCCAGTTTTCTCAAAAGATTTAAGGAATTGTCCTGTCAACATGATTTTCCATATGGATGAAATGGAGAAAAAAAGCAAGAGGAAAGAATCATGGCTCCAACCTTTCTCCAAATGATTTTGACACAAAATGTGCCCCCCCACCCGCCCCGGTATGCACAGCAGGTCTGAAGCCAGCCGGTATGCTGCCACCTGCCCAGGAGCATGCCCCGGATCCCTGCTCAGCAGCAGAGTCAGGGAACCACCATGAAGGGAGGGCAGTGGAGGCTCCGGTCCATGGTACAGAGGACACTACTCCTCAGCTGCTGTTGGGATTTCCAAATCTCTCTTTCCCCGTTTTCTTTCTACGTTTTCTCTTCCTTGGCAATCTTCCCCTAGTCATGTAGCTTCTCCTTTTCTTTACTATCTTCACTCTCCTTTGGTCTCCAGGAATTCCTCCTTTTTTTGGCTCTGTCCCTTCCTCTCCAACTCCTTATTGCCTTTTGTTTGTTTCTAAGAACTCAATACCTATCTCCCTGGCAAGGCCAGACTAGGATCATGAACCTCAACACGCCCTGGCTCAAAAGAGCACAAAAAGCAACTTCTTCCCTGAAGCCAGAGAAGTCTCTGCCAAGATCTCTGAAACCGGTGGAGGACTGACTATTGCTGCAGGTCTGTGCTTTTAGGACCCGCCTTAGATGTCCTAAAGGAACAAAAGAGCAGTGACCTAATTCATCTTATTTCTCATTTAACTACCCCAACCCCAATATATCCACCTTCACCCCATTTTACCCAGGAATCTTTCTCACCCCATTCCCTGTTTCACCAGATTCTCTCTGCAAGTGTTCTACCAGAACTACAGCCTCCTCGACACTCTGTAGATGGTGCTTCTTTATCTGGGTCTGGGTGTCCCTGGGCAGAATGGTCAGGAACTGTTCTAGCACCAGCAGGTCCAAGATCTGCTCTTTTGAATGAATCTCTGGCCTCAGCCACTGATGGCATAATTCCTGCAGTCGGTCAACAGCCTCACGGGGTCCAGCTGCTTCATGATACAGGAAGTTTCGGAAGTGTAGGTGAGACCTCTCAGGACTGAGGCTGTCTGTTTGTGGGACACACTTCTTGTGCTGACTGGAGCGCTCTGTCACAGGTCCCTTGGTCTCCCACAGAGTACTGATCTGAGGGTTCAAGTACTCAGCCACCTTCAGATCTACTGTCATCATTCTGCTCTAGGAACAATTCTGCTCCTATGTTGGACACGTCACTAGTGCCACCTTTAAAAATTGAGGCCAAGTCGGTCTGCACAAAATCAAGAGAAAGATCTTCTTCCTAAGGTATTAAAGTGAGAAGAAAAGTGCATGTCAATAAGAAAGTCACATGAACCTTAAGACTTCCTACTTATTATGAGAGAAAAATGAACTTTAAAAATCAACTGCCAGGCCCTTGTTTCTCTCCCTTTCTTTCTATTAATCAGATGAATGTAGGACAGCTCATCGACAATAAATGCCAATAAATGACTCTGCCTTTAAAAAAAATAATCAGGAAAGTTTCGTGGGTAAGAAAATTAGTACCCACTAGCTGCAAGATGTTTGGGGTTATCCAAAGATTTAACTGATGTGCTTCCTAGTTCAGCCTCTCCATGCCAGGTAAGGATTAAGAGGATGTTCTGAGATTCTCTTAGGTTTTAACATATCATCCTATTTTTCTGTCTTTAGTAAGGGGGTACAACTTCTATGACCTTTCATCCTCTTGGGAAGATGGAAGCCTTCACTTTCTGTAACATTTCAGGTGTTTCTTTTCAATACATGAATATGGGCAGGAAAGCTGAAATAGTGAGACCAGAGTAGAAGGAAACTAATTAGGGAAAATGGAGCCTTATTCTTTTCAAAAAGCAGCCCTCAATTAAGTAGCTGCTCAACATTCATCTTGACATTTCTCTGCAAGACGAATAAAGGACATTGGGCTGAAGATTTGTATCTGTATTTCAAATTTCTCTTTACTTGACCTAGGAAAAATTACACTGCTCTTTGTTCACAAAATGTTTCTCCAATTGTCAAGTTGCAAAGAAGGAGAGAATGGGAGTTGGTGGTGATTAAATTCTGCTGACTACATTTCTTCAAGGGTCACTTAGTCCCCTAAGCGAGCCTAAGAAGAACCTTGTGAGTCTCACTTTCCCTGAGGTGATCCAGCAGAAATGGCACTGGAATTCTTTCCAAGGTGCCACGTTACTCACAGATGGTCGGCACCTCCTTGCCCACCTGGCTCAGGAAGCGTGGGCACACTTCCTGGGCTTTTACGTCAACAGATGCTGACCTCTCTGAGCCTGGACTGCCCGGTTCCCCGGCGGTAACATCAGCCAGCAAAGCAAACGCCGGCGGGGGCGGGAAAGTGGACACTACTGCCCACCCCTGCCTCTGGGCCGCCAACACGCGCGCCCGCGAGCACCGTGCGAGCCGCAGTACCGGGCGGGGTCTAAGGGCGCGCGGCCCGGGCGCTGTCTGCGCAAAGCCGGGAAAGAGCGGCCTCAGGAGGCTGACGCCGGGCCTCCCCCAGGACAGTCGGCGCAGCCCCCGCCAGTCCTGCAGCGGCTAAGGGCAGCGGCCAGCGTCTCTCGGGAGCCCCGGAGCCAACGCCGAAGGGGAAGCCGCTTCTCCGTTACCTCAGACGGCTCGGCTTCGTGGAGGCCGCTTCCACTTCCTTGGACTCGAGCGCAAGTCGCCGCCCCTCCGGCCGACGCTATAAGGAGGACACTCTCCCTGCGTCACTCAGAGGCGGACCCAGCGAGGCTCCGGGTCGGGGGCACAGGCTCAGCACCTCACAGGCCCACCCGCCCCCTCAACCACACCAGGAGTGGCTCCTGCGCCGGCGTCTAGTGCCCGCATTCCAACCGGAAGCAGAAGAGACGCACTTCCGGGGCGCCCCCACCACCACCTTAGCCCCGCTGAGTCCGTGAACGCGGCGGCTCCAGGAGTGGTTGGACGACCGGTCGACTGCCCTTGTTCAGCCCTGGTGGCAAGAAAGAAGTTAATGCCACCGAGTCTCCAAGCCCGCCAGCCTAGAGGTCCCTGCGCGTCGGGTCCCGAGCCGGAGCTGTCATCTCGGGCTCGGCGCAGCTTTCTCGAAATAGAGGCCGTTTTGTCCCAGTTAGAAACGACGGCCCCTGCGGGGTTTGTACCTACTTCTGGGCCGGGCGTGCTCACGATTCTTTTCTTCTTTTTCTTTTCTTTTTTTTCTGTGAGGTAGGTTTTTACCCGTGAAATAGGTTCCATTTATAGTTCTTCACAGAGAATTGAGAGCTTGCTCCCTTGACTGGAAGTGAGTTGCTCAGGGTCACGTAATTTACCAGTGGCAGGTCCTCCAGTGGAATTCAGGTCCCCTTTGTGCTCTCTCCTGATTTTCCCACCGCAGCGTGTTCCCCGGAGGATGGGACCCTACTTTCCATTTGTATGTCCTGCAGCGTTTGGCAGAGTTGCCTGGGTAAGACTGGCTTTCCATAAATATTTACTGAATCATATTTAGAAGAACCTGAGTATTTGGGGTTGTCAGTGTTCTTCCAGTGGTCAGTGTTTTCATAGTGTCAGCTGGTACTAGTCAAGGGATTATTCATTAAGTCTACTACGTGTAGTCAGTGTTCCAGAGTCAATAGGACAATGCCTTTGAGTCAAGGAATCTAGGAAAAGAACTGAGGCAGTTTCATGAATATCAGTAACACAAGGTAGGAAAGGGTAAGACATAGGCTCATCACTGTGGGAATTCCAAGGAAATGAAAGTTGATTTGGGGATGGGGAAGACTATTCAAGACTTTGAGGGGTTTGCCCGCAGCAGGGAGTAGGGTCACATTCCAGGAGAGTTAAGAGCAAAGCCTTGAAAGCTGCAGAGATGACCATGTGAGAGAATCTCTACTAATTAGCTAAATATAATAGGGCTACATTTAGAGAAAGGGCTTAAGTAGAAAATAAGTTCTTGTGGACCTATTAGGGATTGCTTCGAATGGGAGTGAAGAGACTGCATTTAATAAATAAACTAATAATGAACATCATTTGAGGGTTTTTGAGGAAGCTTCTTTCCAGGCTTTTCAACTGGGGCTAAGTTTAAGGTGGGAATGAAAATGGGAGACCACTGCAAGGCCGTTATGCTATTTTTGCTTTTAAATAGACTGGTGTTACACTCCTACGAGGCACAGATCTTTTTGAGAGAAAAGGATTAAATGGTGACTAATAACAAGCATCTGCCTAAGGTGCTTGAATATGTTTCAAAGCAGGTTCATTTCTTTAAAATCTCAGGTTGGTATTTAGTTTCTTCAAATGTAACTCTTGTTTCCAGTCTCTCAGAACCAGTGGATAGTAATGTTCTAAGCATTGAGATCCTCATCATCCAGCCCAAGGCTGAGCATATAATTGGAACTTGTTAAGTTGAATAGTAAATAGAGTTCTGCCAGTAGTGCACCTGGATGTTACTGGCAGGCCCAATTCTGAACATAGTAGGGAGCTGGTTAGTGAACAAGGGGAGAAGAAAGTGGAAGAAGAAACCCTCTGAAAGGAAGAAGAAGAAGCAAGGTACAAAGTGGGGAATAGTGAATGTAGGCCCTGGATAATGTTCATTGTCTGAAGTTTGGTGCCATAGTTGCTTACTCTTGCTGTGGTGCCCACAAAAGTCCCCTCAGTCTTTTCTTTTGATTTCACCTTCCTCTTCCTGGGCACAGTTTGAGAAATGATGAATGTACAGCGTGAAACAAAACAAACGCAAGCAGTTTATTCTGAGACACCACTCAACTGCCTTAGGGGACTAAATGTTTTTGCTGGGTGACTGGCTGGATTTAAGGCTGCCGCTTTTGGCTAATAAACACTCTTTCCTTTTTCTGTTTACGATAGTAATTGCCTTAATCAGAGGTGCTTCCTGTAGAAGGTTGCTTGATTTTAGCCTGTCACTGGCTCCACACTTTATTAACTACTGTATTCTTTCATGTTCCTCTTAGTACTCCATGAACCAGTTGACATTTCTTGCAACAATTGTTAGGGGAAAACTAATGGACTCTGGGTTTCTAGATGAGAGGATTTTGAGAATTCTGTGTAGTTGAAAAATAAATGAAAGTCAGTCAGGCTCTGCCCTAAAGGAGAGGGAGAATCACTGAAATACCAATCATTTTTCTTATTTCTCTGACATACTTTTCTTTCTTCATAGCACCTGGAATGGATAAAAGTGGCAGTTTTTGTTATTTCCCATGAGGTTGTGTATCTGGAATGGGAACCATGGAATTAATCTAGATTAGGACATTCCTAAAGACATGGAATGGCATTGGACAGCACCAGGATGACTTGAAAAGAATATTTGAGGGCCCAGAGCTACAGAAGAGTTTGCCAACAGAAGGATTTATGGGAAACAAGGGATCAGAAATACCAGTAGAGAAACCTTTTAAATTTCTTCAAGCAGTGGAAAAACTGAGTCTTGTTTCAAATTAAGTAAAATCTCTACTGAAGAGAAATCAAAGTCTCAAATATAAAAAGTATGTTTCTTAACACTAGGTGTAAATTTAGGAAAATAATCACAAGGATAGATCTTTTTAATAATTTTTTAACTATCATAAAAATTTTATAAAACTTCTGAACTCATCGCTAAGAACTGCCATGATTCTGAGACTCAATAATATCCCAAATTTGGAACAATTTCAGCAAAAAATAACAGTTGAAAATACACTAGATGTACTCAGGGAAGAAGATCTGACAGTGGAAAAGTACCACTAATGAACCCATTATTTACATACTTACAGATTACCTTGGTAAACATAAGACACACTCAAGCTAAAGCTTAGTCTTTGGGAATGCTGTACTGAATGCAGTAAAAGTTGGATTTCATTCATATGGACAACAGAACCTACTTTCTTCTTCACCTAAAGATACTATACAGTTATTCTCAAATTCCAACTCTCCAGACATTGCAGTGTCAGAGTAGCAGGTGGATGGACTGATGCCCAGTGAACATTCCATGCAGAGCAGTGTGTGCACCATTTTCTTTTCTGGCAGTGAGGTAAAAATCAAGTTGTTTGGAGAAGGAGACATCACACTGGACGTCTGCTACACAGTACGACTGTCTTTGCCTTTGAAGCTTTCACACTGTCATCTGAAGCACCACTTTTTGTTGAGATTTATCTTACCTGAGTCTGTTCTTGTGAGCACATCTCACCTCCTCTCTTTTCTGTGTCGAGTTAGGGAGAGTGTGCAGACATTCCTGTTATTCCTGACTGATGCTGCTATACCTGTCAATGGAGAGAAGAAATGTTCAGAAGAGGGCTTCTGAAACCTGCTCATCCATGTCTTGCAGGAGCAATATGTAGACAGGGCTTTGACAGTGGCAACTTTCTGAGTTCCTAAGACCTTTGGCTCTAGACTAGCACTTTAATCATAAGCCCTCATCCCTTTTAGCCCATTACCCTTCAGGATACATGCCTGTGCCTTCTTGGGCTTTGGGCTAGCTTTGTGGGGGGCAGAGGGAGTTGTTTGGGGTTTTTTTTTCCAATTCAGCAAGGTTTTTCCCCCACTGATTGTTTGAAACCAAATTCAGTATGAATAAGAGAGGGAAATATACAACATTGAATTTGGAAGAGAAGATGAAGGTTCTAAGTAGGATTGAAGCCGGACGATCTCTTAAAAGTGTAATGGATGAATTTGGAATCAGTAAGTCAACATTTTATGACATTAAAAAGAATAAGAAATTGATTTTGGACTTTGTACTGAAGCAGGACATGCCATTAGTAGGGGCTGAGAAGAGGAAGAGGACAACAAGAGCCAAATACAGTGACGTGGATGATGCAGTCTACATGTGGTACCAACAGAAACGCTCAGCCGGCGTCCCTGTTCGAGGTGTGGAGCTTCAGGCTGCAGCAGAGAGATTCGCACAGTGTTTTGGGCGGGTAGATTTCAAAGCTAGCACTGGTTGGCTTTTTAGATTTCGAAATAGGCATGCAATTGGGAACCGGAAAGTATGTGGGGAACAAGTCCTAAGTTCAGCTTCAGAAAACACTGAGCCATTTCGACAAAAGCTGTCCATGCTTATCAAAGAGGAGAAACTATGTCTTGCACAGCTATACAGTGGGGATGAGACAGACCTCTTTTGGAAGTCAATGCCAGAAAACACTCAGGCAAGCAGAAAAGATATCTGCCTACCAGGGAAGAAAATAAACAAAGAACGGTTGTCAGCTCTTTTATGTGCAAATGCAGATGGAACTCACAAGTTAAAGTCAGTCATTATTGGAAAAGCAAAGCTGCCCAAAAATGTGAAAGAGGACACATGTACATTACCTGTGATATACAAACCTAGTAAAGATGTTTGGTTCACCAGAGAATTGTTTTCGGAATGGTTTTTTCACAACTTTGTTCCTGAGGTCAAGCATTTTCAACTTAATGTTCTCCGATTCCATGAGGATGATGTCAGGGCCTTGTTACTTCTGGAAAATTCCCCAGTTCACCCTTCTACTGAATCACTGACCAGTGAGGATGGCCGAATAAAATGCATGTTCTTTCCCCATAACACTTCAACCTTGATTCAACCAATGAATCAAGGTGTGATCTTGAGCTGCAAACGACTTTATAGGTGGAAGCAACTTGAGGAGAGTCTTGTAATTTTTGAAGAAAGTGATGATGAGCAAGATAAAGGAGAAAAACAAGTTTCCAAGATTAAAATCTACAATGTAAAAAGTGCAGTTTTTAACTGGGCAAAGAGTTGGGATGAAGTAAAACAAATAACCATAGCAAATGCTTGGGAAAATCTTCTTTACAAAAAGGAACTTGAATATGCTCTTCAAGGCTTAGAAGATGGGGATTATAGAGAAATTCTTGAGAAATGTGAGGAGTCGGAAACCAAGCTGGATGATGATAGGGTGTGGTTAAATGGGGATGAAGAAGAAAAGGATAGCCCCCCAGAAACAAAAGGAGGAGGAGCTGAAGAGAGCAGACTGCTGAATTTAAGTTATCTGCTGTCAGAAAGAGTTTCTTGATTTTGTTGATGCCACACCTGAGTTTCAGAGGTTCCATTTTATGCTGAAAGAAATGCAACAAGAAATAATCAAGAAACAGCTCCAGAGTAGAATCCATTCTAGAATTGGTAGCTTTTTGAAACCTTGGCCTCATAAGGATTCCTTCAGTATGCCTTCAACTTCTGGTTCTAGTAATTAGATTTTGTGTTTAAAGATTTTTGCAATTATGTGATAATATATGAAGTAGACTTATTGTGAATTGTCATTTTTTTATTTACCTCATTTTGCATATCAATGCCCATTTATATTGTTTATAAAACATAAAATTTGGAAGTAAAATTTGTTTTTAATGTATAAATATATTCATTCATCCATATTTTTCTATTTTAGACTAAGATTTGAATAATGAGGAACTACTGTCTCAGATTATCTAAGGTAGGATGGATGTGGGAAAAGCATTAAAATCTAAATGTGTTCAAGGCATATAACAAGCTATGTATATGCTGACTAGTTAAGAAGATAAAAAAGGATTTGGTTTTCAATTTAGTGCTATGACATGCTCTGCTCTCTTAAATCTGTTAACCATCTGTTTAGTATTTGTTTTCCTCTTACTGTGGAAGACACATATGCTGGTTATAAAAGATACACACACAAAAAAGATAATCACCCAAATTCTGTCCACCAATGGTAGTCTCTCTTAATGCTTTGGTATATTTCATATATTTTTAAATAGGTAGGTTATATTGTAAATACAATTTTATATCTTATTGTCTTAACATTTTTGTTACTTAAAAGTTAGCATTTGTTGAGACACCTTTCAAGCCTAGGATAGACCGGTATTGTGGAAGAAGTTGAGGGAGAATGTGAGATAAGCATACTGGACAGCTCTCTAGTTCATTGCATTAAACATCTGGTTTTCCCCAATGGTCATAAATTTCCATAATAAATGACCAGCAGTTACACCCTTTTCAAAAGTATTCATTGATTCTGCAAATTTCACGTTGCCTTTCCATGTCAAGCAGAGTAAGTTGTTGAGCATTTAGACCTGAATTAGAAAAAGAATAGAAACAAACCACTGTTGGTTGTGTACAGAGAGGGCTTTGAGAGCGTTTGCATAGTAGGGAAGTATCTGAGTCAAGTGTGACTTTTGAGCTGGGCTTTAAAGTTTGGGGGAAGGAGGGAGGACAGTCCGGCAAAGGGAGTGTGTGCGGTGCATCTCCTTGGGAAGCTGCGAGGTCCCTGGATGGTGGCTGTAGGTGCAGCTGGCAGAGAAAAGGAGGAAAGAAGTCTGGGCCAGATTTTCAGTGCCTTTGGAGGTTATTCTAAGAATTCAGGCTTAGGGCTGGACACATGTAAAGCCCTGCCAGCTCTACCTCCCGAATGTCTCGTCGCGTCTCCACTTCTCCCTCCTCACTGCTTGTTTCCTGGTCCGGGCCGACATCACTCTGCCTGGACGACTGCACGGGTCTCTAGTCTCCCTGCTCTTCTTTCTTGTCCTCTCCCCATCCGTTCCCCACCCTGCGGCCAGAGTGAGCTAACCAAAACAAAACTGAGGAGGCGTCCCCCCTGTCGAAGGTCTTTCGGGGGCTACTGGGCCCGTCCTTCCCCGACCCCCTAGACGCCCCTTTCTCCTGCCCTCCCTGACTCGGCTCGGCTCTTCGCTCGCCTCCCGTTGGACCACCCAGCCCCGCCTGCGGCCCCTGGCTGGCGCACGCGCACCTGAGGGACTGGGAAGTTTCGGGGCTGCAAGCGCCGCCCGTGACGGCTCCGGAGGAAGGAAAGGGAAACCCTGCGCCGCGTGGGCCGG